TCAGCAGTTTCCTCTTAATGTGGAGGACATCTGAGCTGGCACCGCTAGCGATGAATCTCCACTCTTTTTCCTCATGGGATCCAAAAGGCCACCCACTATTTCTTCTTGTTTCCTCTTAAATTTCACTGTCTCTTTTTTAGTTGCAAAGGGTTTTGGGATAAGGGCCCTAGTGAAGAAGCCAAGCTAACGGGGTGCTGGGGGTGCTCAGCGCTTTCCCATGGCCCAGCCCGTGGTGAGTTCTGCTTGCTGGGCAGGAGAGTGGTGCTGAAGGCAGCAGAGGGGAGAGGGAGGGAGCCAGCTAGCTTTCCCTGTCCCTGCTCTGGCAGCATTCAGCCGTAAGGGGTGGTGTGCGTCCTAGCAGCTGGGAAGGTATTGGCGATAGGCAAACTAAACGGACCTAGTCGAGGATGGCCTGACGCTTGAACTTTGTCAAACAGAAATACAGGCATGTTGACAACATCATGTTTGAGAACCACACAATTGCAGATCGCTTCCTAGACTTCTGGCGGAAGACAGGGAACCAACATCTTGGGTATCTGTATGGCCGGTACACAGAGCACAAAGACATCCCTCTGGGGATCCGGGCGGAGGTTGCTGCCATCTATGAACCCCCACAGGTAAAAGCTGGGTGCCGTGGCGTCAGTGTCAACTCGTAAAGATAATCAGGGAACAAGGAAACACTTTTTTGTTTGGGAAACCTCATGCAGTATTTCGGACTGCAGCTCCATAAGGAAAATGGTCCCATGAAAGAGATGTGATTTGTGTCTTTGTGTTATTGCCACTGAAAGAATTTTAACACTCAGATTTGCTTTTTGTTATTTTCACACTTTCTTTCACATTACTCTTTGCTCCGATGATTTAAAGCTAGGGTGGCTTCGTAACAGTGGATTTCACTTTCCATGTTTCCTTGGTCACTGGGTTTCCAAGGCTGTGGTACAGAACAGCTTGAAAACAAATTCTGTACTAGGAAAAAAAAGTTGCGGTCCTTGCTTCAGTTTCTTATCAGCTCTCTGGGAAAATTTAGGCAGCTTAATTAGAGAAAAATGAAGTCTGCTGCCTTGATGGAGAGGCCAAGGATGAGGTTTGATGCCTCAGAGCAGCCGGGAGTCCCCGCTAGATGGTGCACGGCACCGCACGGCGCCGTGCTCAGCACCGCCGAGTCCTCCCGGGAGGCTGCAGCCGGAGCGGGTCCCGCCGAGCCTGGCCTCCCGGGGAACCCAAGAGCTGAATTCACTCTCCGAGAGCTGAAAATGGAGGTGGCAACTACAAAAAGCCACTCTGCCCACAACACAAGGCTCGGCTTGAAGCTGAGTTTGCCTACTGGCTTCTTCACTGCTGATCAAAGTCACTTTTCTGAGTGCAGACACTAAGTATACAAACATATCGTGGTGGGTCATACGTTTTCTTCCTCTGATGATTTCTGCAGGGTTGCTAGAGTAAAACGCCACAGATTTGTCAGTGGAAAAAGAACAAATAGATCTTTGTGAGTGTGTGTGTGAGAGCAGAATTGCAAGCCTTTTATAAGTTCTTCCCTTTCTTTCCAATCTGAGCAGAGCCATGCCCTCTATTGTTTCAGTATCGTTGTTAAGCCCCTGCTTTGGAAATTCGTATGCTTCTAGTTGTACACGGTAAAAGCAAAGAAGCTTTTGCTTTCCTGGCAAGCAGTCTCTGCTGTGCTTCTTGGCACGGCATCTCCCCACACAAGAAAGCTTGCTTCTGAAACGCACCCAGATGGAGCTGTGTTTTCCAGAGCACGGGGGGGGGGAAGGCCTGGGCGCGGGCTCTTGAATTCACTGGATTTCTGCCTCTCTGCTGCTCGAAGAGTCAAACAAACGGAACGGCGGTACAAAACTGGCAGTTTGAACACAGAGCTTTGGAAAAATTACATAATCTCTTGCCTTTTCCAAAGTGCTCAGAAACAGCAATGGCCTGTTTGTAAATGATGAGTCTTTCATTCATAAACCCTGACATAGTTTGCAAACTAAGCCGAAGAGCTCTGACAGGATGGGTCTGTGAGTAGAGGAGGTCTCTGGGGTGAAACCGGTCAGTGGTAACGCTGAAGGGGAAACCCAGACCTCTGCTTCCATCCTCTGCTTCCATCCTCTGCCTCGCTCCTGACAATGACTAAGTGCACTGTGATTTTTCCTGTTCTGTCTTACTAGTGAGTTTTTCTTTGCTGCAGATTGGTACACAGAACAGCCTGGAGATCCTGGAAGATCCAAAAGCTGAGGTTGTGGATGAGATCGCTGCAAAGCTTGGACTGAGAAAGGTTAGGATGTTGCGGATCTCATGCGTCTTTGTTTGGCAATGAAGAAAGTCGTCGGCAGTTCTCTTCAGCTCCACGGGTTTATTCAAGACCATTTGGGCACATCTGAAATCTAGCTTAAGTGTCGGTAGCTCTGACGCTTTTAGGTATGAAAAAACAAAATGAGAGCATTTTCCTGAGCACAAGCATCTAGCAGGGCTGTGCAGCTGAAGTCAGCAGTCCTCTGTCATGAATGACATCAAAGGGAGTAGCAAAGAAGCAGAAACACGATTTTCCCTTTATTTCTCCTTAGAGAGGAGCCATTCCTGGTAGCATCTCCCTGGTGAGTGCTAATTTGACACAGATGTAGCCAGAGTTGCCTTCCGAGTTTGTTCTTCCTTTTGACAGAATCGGTGCTCCGCTTCAGGAGCAGAGGCTCCTGCTTGTTTTTTATTCTCCTCTGTGGGGTCCTGCCCCTTGGTGCTGCTCAGGCAGGCTGTGGTTAATCTGTACGTTGGTTTAGAGGTGTGGGTCCCCCAACAGCTGAGCCTCAGTCCTCTGTTTCCCCCTGTGCCCGCAGCCTGCCAGTCATCCGATCAGGACGTATGGGTATCGGGATCCACTGGTTTGCTGACATCTCTCAAACCTGTACTGATATTTTCCGGTTTGGGAAATCTTTTGGTGTCGTGTGAGTGCCAGGAATGAGATGTACACAAACAAGATTTGACTTGCGAAAGAAAACACAAATCAGAAAAGGCTCAGTACAGTAGACTATAAACATCTGTGGTGAGGTCTTTTGTTCTCTGAAGATAAGATCTTTAGCCTTTTGCCAGTGTCTGAAGCAAAGCTTCTGTGTGTGTTATTTATTTCCATGCTTTTCCTCTGCTTCTCACATCAGATATTTTTAATCAATATGACTTAACACGTAACTTACTGCTAGTTGCAGATTTTTGTCTGCCTGGCCTCTGCTAGGGATCTGAATCAGCAGTTCTTCCTCGGAAGGGTTAATGCTGTGGGAGTTGGTCGCCGGGGGGCTGATCAGAGCTGTTTTTAGCACATGTGTGTAGAAGGGTTCACCCAGCGGTGTGTGTGTACACATCTATACTCCTATGTGCAAACAATGCGGAAAGCAGGAATTTTAATGTGTTTTTTGGATCGGAGCAGGCTGATTTGGAATGAATCATACTCCAGTGGGAACATATGAGCTTTATCTTAACTAGTGACTGCGAGCTTCAAAATGAGATCATGTGAGCTGCTTTGTCATCTGCTGGCGCTCCCTTTGCTCTGAATGCTCAATAGGAAATGCTTTTTGCTGTGGGTGGGAGGAGGTAGCGGCTGAGAGGCCTCTTGCAGCCTCCAGATCTTTCCATGAAAAAATATTCCATAGTGAAACATAAAGCTGCAGGTGCCCCCGGCCGGCCAGCTGGCATGCTGCTCCTGGAAATCGGATTCAAATGAGCCCAGCACAGCTGGGAGAGCCATTTCCTTGAGGCAGCATACAGCAGGGCCGTGCGAGGAGCCAAGAACATCTTGTCCTGCTAGGAGAAAATGTATAAGCTCTCTTCTGGTTTGGGGTTGTTTTTTTGTTTTTTTTTTTTTTCTTTAAGCAGCTTTCTCCATAACACTTCTTTATAGGTTGGCTGGATATTTACTGATCTGGTCTCTGAAGACACACGGAAAGGGACTGTTCGATACAGCAGAAACAAGGTGAGATTCAAGTGTGCAGCTAATTACAGCTGCTGGTACTGAGGGTTTGTGTAGTCGCATAAACGCTGGCTGTGCCAAGCAGAGTACTGAGCCAGGGCAGCGCAGGGCCGGAGGTGACGCTGGGACTGGAGTTCTTGTGAAATGGGATTTTTCAGAAGCTTCTGAAGGAAAAGGAGCTTGAGCTCGAAGAGCACTGTTAGGGGTTTGAAGCTTTTTGGATAACATGCAAAGCTGCCCGCAGTCCTTCACCCACTCTGCTTTAAGAAAACGGTGCTCGTGGTTTAAGAAATTTAGTAGAGTGGAGGGAACGGGGTTGTGTGAGGTGCAAACTCGGTGAGCAAAAGTGACTGAGTCAGAGGATGTTTCTATGGGCTGGGCTTTGTGAGATATACGTGGCTCAAACCTTGACCTTCTCTGCTTCCTGTAATTCTAAAATCAGTTATGTTCTTATTTGGAAAATGAAACCCCATTTAAAAAAAAGGTGTGTAAAGTTGGGTGGAACTAGATGTGGGACAGTCCTTCGGGCGAGAGCCAGGCTCAGGGCTGGAGAGCTGACATGTCGCATTCTTTTCCCAGTCTGTGCAGCAACTTTCTACGAAAGCATGTTTTATTAGGGTGTTGGTAGCTTTCCTTGGCTGCAGACCAGAGAAATAGGTCTAGGCTACATCACGTTGTCCTTTTTATTGACATTTCTGCTCTTCCCTCAGGACACGTATTATCTAAGTGCAGAAGAGTGCATCACAGCTGGAAACTTTCAGAACCAGCAGCCCAACATCTGTCGCCTTTCTCCAGATGGTCATTTTGGATCCAAGTTTGTCACAGTTGTGGCTACAGGTATAAACTGGCCTCAGCTTGCCCCGGCTCTCTTGGTTACACATGAATTATCTCTTGTTAATAGAAGAAGAATATGCAGCTCTGCCAGAAGTCGTCAGACATCCTGGTCCCCATCTGTCCTATTTAACAAGGGTTTTGCCTTGCTCTATCAAGTAAAATACTTTTTCGTTCTTTGTGCTATCTCCTCTGCAATTATTTACCCTGTCCCCTGCAGGAAACTGAATTGAGGCTCAGACCTGGAGCATCCACCTCTCTGATCCAGAAAGCATTTTTTGCCTGCAGCCAGGGGAATAACTGTCGCTCGCTTTTCTGTTTCGAACCTTTAAGCTCCAAATTCTGTTGCCTGAAAGCGGCAGTGCAGAACCACGGCAGTCCGGATCCTGAAAGTTACTCTGGCTGGTTCAGCATAAAGGAGGGACCTTTATCTCCCTTGTGTCGCTGTCAGGGAAACCCTTACGTAGGATGCTGTGCTCTTCCGTGCATGGAAGCATTTTTTGTTTGCCTGAATAAAACAGAGAAGCCTGCAAAATGCTTTGCTTTGTCACCTCTGATTTTAGCCGTTTTCACAGCAAGTCTCCAGAGGCGCTGTGGAATAGTCTGCGCTGCCCGGGCTGCGAGGGGAGACGTTGGCATGTGCTGGGAGAGTTGTAGCATTAGAAGTTCAATCTGCTGTTCTCCACGGGATGACACATGTATTCATTTAAAATTTCCCTGGAGCAGATACGCTTGGTTCTGGGTCTATTTAACACAATGAAAAAACCGCATGACTTCCAAATAGCATCCAATGTAAAAACTGAAAGTGTGATATTATATTGCCTCCTCTGAGCCCAGGTTTTGTAAGTGTTCCCGGAGCCTTTTTCGGTGAAAACGCTCTCTTTCAGTTAACAGGCCCGTGCAATCAGACAGCTGCCCGTACATTCCAGACTGCTAAACGCATCCATCTTTCATTAAAGATAGATGCGTATCTCGCTCACTCTTTTTTTTTATTATTTATTTCTATTTTTTTTTAAACAAGGTGTTTTACTGAGAAAATGATGACTAGCTTTGTTCGGGCCTTCCCCGTGTCTCAGTGTATGTTTAATTTCTAGAAGTGTTTGTTCTGGAGCAGTGAGTGATTGAGGTTAGAGATCAAAGGGTAGAAAACGAATATTTCCTTTTTTCTGTTCCAGATAATTTCATTCTCTTCTGTTAAATCAGCCCATCAGGTTTCTATTTAAACACTTGATTCCTTCCTTTTGTGCCTTATAAATATATTTGGATAGTTTGCATCAACTTTGCCTTTAAATCCTCTACACGGATTAACTCCTATCCCCTCCTGAATTCCTAGGTTTGGAAATAGTAACGTTTTCCTACCATCTGTCTGTATCTTCTCTTTCCAGTTGTATTCTAATGACATATGACCTGATGTTGCTTACATTATCCAAATTAAAGCGCCAAGCATGTGATCTATCAGTGAGCCAGGGTCTTAATTTCCACTTTCCATGTCAGATTTCCACAAAGCCATCCATTACAGGCTGAGAAAACACTTTTTCTTCTTATGCTTGACATTACTAGGTGACCAACCCTGAATCTGCAGCTCATGGCTCCTTGGAAATGAAAGAGGCTTGCAGGAGCTGTGTGCCTGGTTTTTGTTTTGAAAGAGAAAAGATACCTGCGGGGTAGCGGGAGGGTGATGCTATCAGGAGCCTTCCGAAAGGGCAGCTTCGCCTCCTTTAAGCTCCTGGCAAAGCACTCTTGCTGTCACTCCAGGGGTCTGTCCTGTTAGGCTAGCTGTGAAAATGTGTGTTACTAAATAAGTGTAGAGCCTAGAGGGGATTCTTGCCTAGAAGTACTTCCCATGCAGCAGCACCAGCCATTTCATCTCGCCATTCTTCGCTGTTAGCCAGACTGTCATGTTTGATGTCGCTCTTTGGGTCGTGCCTCTCTGGATTATGCTGGGCAGATCGCTCTCGTGCGGGATTTTTAACCAGCCCCTTCTCTTCCAGGTGGTCCCGACAACCAGGTCCACTTTGAGGGGTACCAGGTCTCGAATCAGTGCATGGCGCTGGTTCGAGATGAGTGTTTGCTGCCCTGCCGAGATGCACCGGAGCTGGGCTACGCCAAGGAGTCCAGCAGTGAGCAGTATGTGCCTGATGTGTTCTATAAGGTAAGGGCTGCGTGCTTGTGGGTGGGGGGAGCTGCAAAAACAGCTCTGCCGCGTGTCTGGAAATCAGCATGGCCAGCTCAGGAAAGGATGTCTTTGAGGTCTGAACTATTTTCAGTAGTAACCGTTCACCACATGTCTGCAAAGTAATTGCATAAGCTCCATTTCCCCCTCGTAAACGTGCTGTTATGGTTTCCAGTGCAGCGGTAGCCATTGGCTATCCGGCTTCTAAATGAGGTCTGCAGTGATCCACTGAGAGCCCATAGCAAGTGCTCTGAATTCACCTCCTCTTCCGTATTTGTTGGCAGTATTTGCCATGCTGCTCTGTTGATTTTAATCCCCAGCTGAGTTCAGCTTCCTCCACTGCACAGCAATATGATGTGTGCTAGCACAAATGGTGCGGTGAAAGCAGTGGGTTCCTTATGCGATGCCAGGGATTTGCTCATGTATGACACGCTTACAGGCACCAACTGGGCAGCAGATGCAACAAAAGGTAGTGTAGTTCATGCAGCAAGAAGAGAGACAGCCCTGTGCGTGCGTCTCTGCAACAAAAGGAAGGTGCGAAGGCTTTCAGAGCAAGGGCAGGACCGGGGTGTGCCCCTGGTTTTCCTCTCTAATACCGGCGTTCCTGCCCGTGCCCTGGTCCTGTTCTCGGGTCAGACAGTAAACTCCAAAAACTGGTCCTGAGGAGCAGCGGGAGATACATGCATCCAGAGCGGATCCAAAATACTCTTATTGAAGCGTAATGCAAGAGCACTGCTGGTAACCTGTGTGCTGCAGTTGTTGGTACAGTTTTAGTGATGAATGGGCTGTCATTATTCCCCTTGACAGTTGTTTCTGGAGATCCTCAGCCCCCCTGCGTCGGCAGGGCCGAGTTAGAAACTTGGGGACAGGATCTCTGCAGAGGCTAATAGCACTGCTTCTCAAACTTGTGTATGTTGGTGCCCCGCAAGCAAGGACAGAGGAATTAATTAATGGCGCTGCTTGCCAACTAATTAGCCATCCATCACCCAAGTTAGTTATCTCATTCTTGTCTGTGTCTGCTATTCACAGCCCACTCAGCCTGCAGCGCTCCTGCCGCCTGTATTAAAGCTGTCCGTTAAGGATTATAGGATAAGCAAAGCTACCTTCATTTGGGACGACTGAAATGAGCGGATTGCACACCAGCAACAGAAATGGAGCTGGTCGAAATGCTCTTGTATGCCCTGAACCCGAGACCGGGAAATGCTGGCCTGGGTGAATTAGCCTGTGAGACTCCATCTTCCCCCTCCACCGCTTAATGCTGAGCTGATGGCTTGTCTTGACACCACCTGAAAATGAGGAACACCGCTTGGCTAAATTCAGTGCTTGAGAGGAAAGGTAGATAGAATCTGTGCCTTTTTCTTTAGCATGCAGACAGCTCGCTCTTAGGAGCTGATAAGCCAGGTCCGATTTAGATACAGCGGAGTTTGATTGTGCAAGGGTTGGCCCTGAATGTGAAGATGATCTCATCTCTTGGCGTGCTTCGGTCCTGCTCTGGAGGAGCCCGTGCTGTGCCACAGTCAGGGTGCAGCCTTGCAGGAGGTCCCGTAGGTCTGTGTCCCACATGTGGGCCACCCTGGGTGTTCGGAGTAGCAGGAAGCCAGTGGGTGTTCCCATAAGGTCTTCACTCCCATTTGTAATCCGAAGCAGGGAGATAAACAAAATGCTAACTGATGGCTCCAGCCTTTTGTGGAAATTTCCATGAACCACTGATTCACTGGGTCGGGCTGCAGCTTATTTCATATGTTTTATAACTTCTATCCGTAATTGCCTTTTTCATGATGTGCTGAAGGAAGGCTTGAGGACTGCTCTGGCGGGTGTAATTGTCCTTCAGCCTTAAACGTGTTTGGCTGTAGGATCTCTTAATTTTTTTTGAATGTTCTTAAATCGATGGAAAGCTTAGTCACTCCTGGCTTTGAAAACCTTTGGGGTCTCATTAAATGTGTGAGGCTTGAGGTCAGAGACACTACCTCATAGTTACTGGGTTGGTGACAACAATGGTGTCAAAGCGTTGGTTAAATACAGTATGAGGAGCAAGAGTCCGGTGCTTGGCCTTGCGGCAGAGGGCAGCTGCTTCGTGGCGCAGCGCCCTGCTCCCCCTTTCTCTGCTGAAACTTCAGGAGCTGAGCAGCTTTGTCTCCAGTCCTCAATGTGGGGGTTCCCCTCTGTGCTGCCCCCCAGCTAGCTTTGGGCAGAAAGCTGCACTTTTGAGTAGTTGCTGCATTTTGTCTCGGATTGAGAAGCTATGACTGGTAGAGGGAAAAGTCCGTATATATATATTTCTATGTAATATGCAAGTACTCATTTGAAAAGCCCTTTAGGATGAGAGGAGCTATACAAACTTATTCTAATTGGATGAGAACCAGAAGGCCAATGTTTGTGTAGTGTGGATGTATTTATAGAACAACTATGCATCCAGATGCAGGGCAAAAATCTATTCAATTCTCGTATCTGTCTACAGCAGGGTAACGCAGTAGATTCACCTTTGGCTTTGCAAATAGGAAAAGGTGCTGCTGTTTGCATCTATAACAAAATGTAAGCCAACAGCTGTACTTCAGTCACGTTGTTCAAAGAAGATGTCTTGTACCTCCGCTCGCAGTAGGTGCTGGTACTTCAGCGGTGACTTAAAAAACGCATCTGGGTTGGTCACGCTGCAGGCGCAGGAAGGGTGCGAGCACCCGCGCTGCAGGCGGGAGAGCTGCAGCTTCAGGGACCTCGCTGCACAGGCCAAGAGGTGCCTGGAAAGAGAGGAACGGCTGTCGTTGGTCAGCAAGCTGGTTTTCCATGGTTTTCACCGTGTTTTGTGTTTGTGGAGTGGGAGCAGGGGCCGCCGTGTCCCCTAGGGCTGCAGCTGTTCCTGCCTGAACGTGAGTCACCTCAATGGTGCGTTAGCATAGATGGGCTTTTCTTCCATGGAAATAGGAAAACTGATGGCACCAGCGTTGTCCTGCCTCAGGAGGCGAGGTGTTTTTCCTGAGCCTCTAGCCTTGTGATTTCTGTATTTCTTTACCATTCTCTTTATGTTGGCCACTAGCCCTGCTGCTCAGAGGAACCACCCCAGTGGAATTGGCAGTATGCGCTTTCTACATGCGGCGGCCGTTGCTTTCCTGGCTCGTGAAGGCTTGAGTTCTGCTCTAGCGTGAAAGTTGAGGGCTTTCGGGACCGTGAGTGCAAGTTACTTTGCTCTGAGATGCCTTTCCAGGTAAGATTAGCCAGAAGGAAGAAAACATCCCCCTTTGCCTCCCGGGTTGTCTGTGAAGCGTCACAGCGCACTGCTGTTTCCAATTCGAATCTTGCACAACCGGCACACGCTTCTTGGCGAGTTCAGTGCAACGAAACTCATGAAGGAGTCGCTCTTGTCAAGACACAGACGCACAAGTCGGGGTGGCCGCTCTCTTTTTCAGTCAAGATGACGATGTTGCAATGGCCGCTTCACCCTGTTTTTCAGCTGGGTGAGGGAGAGCCCAGCTGAATATTACATATGGGCTTTTTCCATTCCCTGTCTTCTGCCCTTGAGCAGCCTCCTCCTTTATCCCTCTGGTTCTAGAAAACACCCATATTGATTTTGATTTCACTAAGAATGTACCTTCCAAGCCATGGGTAGGTTATTCAGAGCTGAAGTTACTTGCGAGTGGTGCTCAGTGCCCCAGCTGGGTGCAATCCCTCCCGCTGGGCTGCCTGCGCCCCGTGCCCGCCGTCTGTGTGCTCCCAGCTCCCTGCAGTCGGTCTGCCGAGCCCGTAACTTTGCAGTGCTGCAACATTGCCTGACTCTGCTCCCCACAGACCTGCGTGCTCTGCTCCCCGGTTAGCTTCATGGGCATCTCAGCCTCCCACCGAATAGGGGAAGAAGATCGCTGCGTTTTACAGACCCTTTGAAACACTTAAATAATTGGATTTTGGGACTGGCTGGCTTTGTCTCTTATCACAGTATTTGCCTCAGCACAGTGCAAACATGAAGATGTCATCCTTGCAATGAATTGCATTTTACAGCTGCCTTAATATTCCTCCGAGTTTCTTTGGGATGGTGTAAGACGAAAGTCCTTTACAATGGCACCGGTGTTGTGAAAGAGCCCTTTGCCCCCGTAGAGTCCTGCGCATGCTTTTTGCATTTACAACAGCTGAGACGGTGTCTGGGCCTTGGCTTGTCATCTGTCAAACGTGGTCCCATCTGGCCCGGGGAGAGCCCTGAGCCAGGGCACTGTTTTGATTAGAGCCGAACGGGACCTCTGAGCCAGGCTGTCCCCGGTGTGGCACGTGTCGCTTCCACCTGTTCACTTTGAAATCCTCTTCCCAGGGAAAACACGATAGCCAGGCTGCGTGGAGGCTTCTGCGGGGAGTTTTCACTAGCAGCAAAGGACTTCCCCTGCCTGGCCTCCTACCAATGGTTCGCGTTGGACTGGAAAAGCCTTCTTAGCCTTAAATGTTCCAGCTGCTCTGGGGAGGAGGATGCTTGATTAGCTCACAAGGAGTCTCCTGAGAAGGGTTTCAACTCTCACTGACCTATTGCTTGCTCTTAGAAAAGTCGCTTCATTTCTGTGCATCAGCTGCTCTATCTGTGCAAGGGGGCAGGACTGCCCGGTAAAGCTCTTGGAAATCAGCAGAGGGAAGAGCAAGGCTGGGCTTTATTAACACACAGAGAGGACAGACAGCTGCCCAGCTCCACCGTACCTTCAGCAGAGTGAACCCGTGGGGAAGGCTAACGGCGTGGGATGCTAACGGCATGGGATGCTAACGGCCGGCCAGCCCTGGGACACGGAGCTGGAGCCTCCCTCCTGGCTGGCAGCCGCCCGGGCTCCTCGCTTGGCTGCTCCCATCACCCTTGTCTGGGAAATCTTGAAGCCACCCGGCAGCCTTTCCAACTGCAGCCGTCCTGCAGCGCCGCAGAGGTGTGCGACGCGGCCAGCCGCGCTCCCTGCGGGCGCACCCATCCTTTTCCCCGTTTGACCTCAGCCGTTTGCAGCTTCTGCCTCCAAACAGTGGTTTGAAAGGCTCTAATCGCAGCGCCTGATTCAATCTCCAGTTTGCTCCTGTCTTCAGGATGATTCATTGTCCAAATCCTCCAGGCCTTGCTGCTTGAATTTTTTGTCCAGGAGCCAAATACTTGCGCCTTCATTAACCCCTTCCTGGTCTCCCTTTGGAGTGGTTGCCGCTGGGCGTTCGTGGCTTTGGGGGTCTCGGGCTCCGGGGCTGCAGCAATAACGTGCTGAGAGGCGCTGCTGGGGCCCCAGAGACTGCCGAGCTCAGGATGAAGATGTCTTTCTCCCAACAATTCTCCCAGCTTGACGTTTGTTAAGGCCTTTAAAACGTAATTGCCTAATAAAATGGTGCACAGGGGTTGGAGAAGAGTGCTGGCGTGGGGGGGGGGCTTTTCTCTCTGGGGAGGGGCAGTGTCGGGACATGTCCTCGACTCGGGGAGAGCGAGGTTCCAGTTTGGTAGTAACAGTCTAGTGCATGTCTTGAAGGCCTCAGCAGCGTGACATTAAAAAGAAGGCATTTAACATGGAAATCCCCAGAGGCGGAGATTAAAGTGAACAGGTGCTGGAAAAATGTTTCTGCATATTAGAACTTAATTAGATTTGAAAATGAATTCCAGATGGGCTAATTATGTGTGAGTTGTTGCAGGTTCTTTCTTGCAGGGGCAGGATTGTGTTTGGGAAGCTGATTCGGTCTGATTGGATTTGATTCCTGACTCTTGCGGTATCACCGAGATCTAGAAGCAGGTTAGCTTTCAGGTCCTGTGATCTCCCTGAAAAGGCTCCACATCTCCTCCTGCTCCTGTCAGAGCCCCAGAGAGATCTGAGGCCACGAGCCACTAGGCTTGTTGCTGAAATAACCACAGGGCCAACAACCTGTCATGTTCAAGGAGAAAAGATCCTTATCAGAATTGCTTTTAAAAGGAGCTTCAAAGACTGGAAGGTAGATTTTTTTTTTTTACAAAGGGAGCTGTTCCTAGGGACAGAGGATGCTTGGGGAGGGGGCTTGGGAAGGGGGGCTGTTGCCTGGAGGGGAGCAGCGTGCCGGAGCCTGCTCAGGCGATGTCCGTCTGGGTGTACCGGGAGAGCAGAGCGTGAGAGCGGGGTGCTGGCTGCCGCACCGCATATTTGTGCTGTGTAAATACTAGCGTAACCGAGAAATGCTGATAGCGGGGGAGTGGCGTACTCTGGGAGAAAATATGGCTCGGGAGAGGAGGGTGTCGGCCGTGGGCAGCTCATCCTGATGCACGGTGCTCA